AATATTGCTAAACATCAACCTTAATTAATAAATTAGTCAAAACTAATTTATTACTGGTTTAGTATTGAATATACGGAGTCTTACAGTAACGAATAATTATTTTAATTATTTAATAATTAAATTATAAATTTTAATTTAATAAAATAAATAAAATTTTTAGTTTAAATGAAATATTATTATATCATTTACTAGCGCCGATGATATAATTAATATTAAAGACAAATTAAAATTTTTTATTTTTAAAATAAAAAATTAATATTTATATTTTTTAGTTATTATAATAATTGAGATTATTATAAAATTTAATTTAAAATTAAATTGATTTATAAAATAATAATAATTAAAAAATGAAAACATATATACATGAGATATATGTGTAGATATTTGAGTGTTAAAAAGAAAAAAAAAAAAAAAAAAAAAGGTAGATGAGTCCAAATAGATTTGAACTTCTACGAGGAGAGTCCAAAATGAACTTCACCGCCAATGCCATCGATGTATATATATATATGAGTGGGGATTGAAAAAGTTTGAGAGGTGAGCTGAAAATAAATTAGTGACAACAAAAACAAAAATTGAAGAATTTTTAAGTTAAAAGTTTTGTGATAAAATTTTAATATGTATATTATTTAATTTATTCATACATTCTGTTAATCAGATAATAAATATTAGTTTCGGTGTTGATACGCATAAAATAATTGTATTTTTGCATAATTTTAATTTGAGAATCCGCTGTCAGATACGATTTATATTTAATTTTTAAGTTACAATATAATTTTAAAGTACATATTATAATCTTACAAAAATATCTAATATAATGTGACATGTACGAATAATCAATGTACATGTCACATTATTAGATAAATATTAATGTCAAATTATTTAGTTAACATATGTTATTAATTTGTTTATAATTTTGTAATAAAATTCTCTACACACCATATATAGATGTATTTTTTTAAGGATATATACAATATTTATAATTGTGATCTATCATAATTAATGTAGTTACTAAAGTTAACCATAAAGAACGACATATACCACGTACAAGATACATATCGTTGGGTTCATTTCTGAACACCAGGATTTGACATAATATATTATATAGTGGATGTAATATTACAAAATTTGATTATACAAAACGTATCATCAATGCAAAGTCATTTCTAAAAATGATTACTCTTCCTTATAGAATATTATTGTTCTTTAGACCCCCCTCAAATACCCATGTGGTATAATTGCACGATATCTTAGAATTATAATTCTGACTCCAATTTTTTTAATATAATTAATTTACTTGGAAAGCATATTTTACTCCTAATTAAACACAGAATCAAAATATTAAAATTAAATGTTAATTATTATGTTAAATGGATTTGGCAGCACTTCAGTAATATACAATAAGAGTTTTACCACCTTAATAATATTCATAAAGCCAAAAGAATCTAATTAACTCAGGAATTAATCTCCAAAAACAATGAATTTACATGTACTTTATAATTTTTATTTATTTATTTAAATTTTAAATAATACTATTTTGCTCTTACTATATAAAAATGAAAAAAAGTTAAATATTATCAGTTGTGAACAATAATGAGTTAAACAACTAAATTTAATCTGTTTGTTCAATTTGAATTGGCGGAGATGTAAAAATAGGAAGGAATAACCCTTTTGCGCGTGCTAGCCATGGTTCTCTAAGTTTTAAAGTTCCTTCCAACTTCCCCAGCGGTCAAGACCGAGTAAACCAATAGCCTAATCACAATCTGCCACATCATCACCCACAAACTCCTTCAGCACACGTGGCATTTTTCTATTTGTCCGTTAGGAAAGAAACAGACTTTACAGACACAGACTCGGGGGAGAATCCGCAACCGATCGCCTATTTATTCCGCCAAATGGTATCATCGCTGCCGAAAGCTTTACCGTTACTTCGAAAAAATTAGAAAGCAAAAGAAAAAAAGAGAAATCATCGACTGCAATGCCGTCGCGTCTTCACCGTAAACTCTCTCTCTATGCTTTTGCTTTCTGGGCTTTTCTAATATCACCGGCGGTGTCGCTTACTTGCACGTCTCAGACCTTCCCCAGCAACGATCTCTATCCCCACTGCCTCGACCTACCAACCCTCTCAGCTTTCCTTCATTACTCCTATGATTCTGCGAACTCAACGCTCTCTGTCGCCTTCTTCGCGCCTCCCTCAAAACCCGGCGGATGGATCGCGTGGGCAATCAACCCGACGGGCACAGGCATGGCGGGGTCGCAGTCTCTGGTTGCCTACCGGGGCTCGAACGGCGTCGTAACGGTCAAGACCTACGACGTCGCGTCCTACGGCTCCATAGTTCAGTCGAAGCTATCGTTCGATGTGTGGGACACGAAAGCAGAGGAGGTGAACGGAGTGATAAGGATGTTCGGGAAGATTAAGGTACCCGCGGATTTGGCGGCGAAGGGGACGGTGAATCAAGTATGGCAAGTGGGACCCGCCGTTGGAGCGAACGGCGCTCTGGTGAAGCACGAGTTCTTGGCGCCCAATCTCAATGCCAAAGCGACGCTTGATTTGAGTGGTGCACAGGGCGGGGTTATAACTACTGCTGGTGGAGGAGATTCTAGGCTTAAGAAGAAAAATGTGAGTAACAAAAAAAAATTCCAGTATTTTTCGGTTTTCTGAAAGAATTTATTAAAAAAAAAAACAGTTTTCAAAATTTTCTATTTCAATTTCCTTGTCGGGTCTTCTTCTTTCTTAATCTTTGGGTAGGTGATTTACCGTTCAAAAATTTTATAGAAAACGATTTTTCCCTTTTTTTGGGGGTGGTTTGATGATAACTTTACGTGTTTGGGAACTAACCAGAACTCAAAACTCAGAAGAATGTATTTTCGAAGTTGTTTTTATTAAGTTTTCCACTTCATTTTCAGCGCAGTTTGACTTTGGAATGTAATTTTTCAAGTGGAAATTTCTTTTACGCCTGATCTGACACTGGGAGAGATTAGATCGAAGAGAAAGCGAAATGGGTAGTTTATGCGTGATGTGGAGTTTATGTTTCTTCCTTTCCTTTAATATCTGAAAATTGGCGAAGACAGATTGAGAATTATGTGTAATCTGTGATAGGATTTTGACGGTGTGAATCTGATTCTTTTTTTTTTTTTTTTCACGTTTACCAAAAATGGCAGATTCACGGGATACTAAATGGATTGAGTTGGGGGATTCTGTTTCCTCTGGGAGTGATTATCGCACGATATGTGAAAACATTTGAATCTGCAGATCCAGCATGGTTTTATCTTCACGTGTCTTGCCAGTTATCCGCCTATGTTCTTGGTGTTGCTGGGTGGGGCACCGGCCTCAAGCTCGGAAGTGAATCCAAAGGCTTTCAATTCACTTCTCATCGCAACATTGGGATTGCCCTTTTCTGCCTCGCAACAATTCAGGTAAATTCCTTTTTGCCCACTTCACTTTTCTCCTCTCCACATTGCTTACTTCCAACCCTGAATGAATAAATTAAAAGACCTGAACTTCCATGCCAAATTCTTTATGATTTTCTTGTTCGAGGCTTCATCTTACTTCATCACTTGGTGAAAAACTATCCATTTGTAAAGGATTTGTATGGATATCTTCTTTTTGTCAGTGATGAGATAAAAATAAGAGCTTAAAGGGCACTGTATGGATACAACTATGTAGATGTAGATTGCAGTGTTTTTATGTGACAATTTTTTTTTCTTTTCCATTTTTTAGGCAAGTGGGTATTTGTTGTGATGCTAAATTTGGATCTGGGTTTGTTCTAACATGATTTTTTTTTTTTTTTTTTTTTGTATTTGGTTCTGTTAGATTTTTGCATTGTTCTTGAGACCAAAGAAGGACCACAAGTACAGATTTTACTGGAATATTTACCACCATGGAATTGGGTATTCTGTCATCATCCTGGGAATTCTTAATGTGTTTAAAGGCCTTAACATGTTGAAGCCTGGGAAGAAGTGGGAATCAGGTTACATCGCGGCAATCGCCACCTTGGGTGGAATTGCCTTGTTTTTGGAAGCTGTTACTTGGATTATTGTTATCAGGAGAAAATCAAGTCTGTCTTCCAAGGCCTAGTTCAGATTATTAAAACACCAGCAGTCAATGAAGGCCGTAGACAACAGACAGCAGACAATGGACAAATGCTCCAACAATTGCCTGCTCTGCTCATCTTGATACTAGACTCCCTAGGTAGCATATAATATATATATCTTCACCTTGTTTGATATGTTCGTAGCTCTATCTATTGAAATCTTGAAGACGAGACGAGAGACACTTTTCTTCTACTTTTTCTCAACCTTTTCTGTAATGGGTTGGTTTCATACGCTACTGTTATTGCTCAGTAAATAGATATAAAAAAAAAAAAAAAAAGGAATTTGCTCACTTCTTCTGTCTGGTGCTTTGATTTCCGATCCTTTGGTCTTTTTAATTTGCCTCCTCAACATTGATGATCCTTGTCAGTCGTGTTCTGGATATATCGCATATCCTTACAGTTCCCATGGTTGGATGATTTATACAGAGAAGTTTGTTGTCTATCAACTCAACTACCATATTTGTCATTACCTCCCCTTTGTTATAAAGAATGGATTCATTTTGTTTCGTGTCGGAATATTGTAATTTAATTTAGAATAATTATTCTATGTTATTTCCTAAATAAAAATGACTACTTTTTTCTTTTGCAATTACAATTGTAATAATTTGGACTTATATTATTTAACTTCACTGTATATAAGGGTGGTGGAAAAAAAAGATTAAAAAGCACAATCTTGATCTTGAAACAAAGAACCTCCCCATCATAAAAGTTACGATAATCATAATAATGTGATCTAAGTTTATTTGAAAATTAAATTGAGAGTGTGACATCCATTATTTATGTATCTATCTGAATCGGATGCTTTTGTTTTTTGGGGGGGTTGGGGTGGTGGTGGGGGGGATTTTTAGGAGAAGGAAATTTCTTCAAATTGTTGGGTGTAAAAGCGTGATTGGAATTTCTTCAAATATATTATATTTGCCAACTTGGAACTAGAAGACACTTAGTTTGTGGGGGTCAACAAATCTGGCATTAATTGAGACTTGATTTTGACTTTAATGGAGTTTGATTAATTAAAAGGTGGGACCCATTAAATTTTAATTAGTTTTTTTAAAAAGGCAAAAATAATAGAAAGCCTTCCAAATTTCAATAATTGTTGCTTTTCTAATTTCAATTACACTTCTCTTAATGTGATTCCCTTGTCTTAAATTCACAAACCTTTAATAATTTGGAATATTAACTTTTCGGGTCCCTAACCAGAAGCTTATATTTGCAAGTATTCTATTTTTATTACACCAGAGTTATACTCTTTTCAATATATTTTATTTTTATACCCTAAAACCTCTTGTATTGTTAAAAATCTTCTTTAAATTTTTTAAAATTAATTAATTTCATATATTCTTATTCAATTTCACACATGTCATTTTGACTCGTTCACAAAATATTTTCCAAACATCAGTAGTACAAATAAATGATAATAAACAAATGCAATCATAATAACCAAAAAAACAAAATAATAATTAAAAAAACAAGGTAAAGTGAACTCCAAAATAATTTTTAATTAGATCGCTAAACAATAATTTTAATTAAACATAAATGTCAAGTAACTGATTAAACAAACATTAAAATCTTAATTTATGTAGATTATAAACTTCAAAAATGTTTTTAGCAAACAGTCATCGAAGAGACAAGTAGGTATGGGTTCAAAAGGTTGGTGCGAAGGCACATGCATAGCAAGATTAGATAAAAAGGTACTTATATTTACAATAATAGACAGCGACCATTGACTGTTCATAATTTATTTGACCACTGACGTGTTACAACACTCTCGAGCATCCAAACCCAAGTTGAATTTTTTGTAAGGTCCATTAATTGCATTGTGTTCATGCCATATACTCCCATCGCATTCTTCTGTCAAAACCATTGACTTTTTTGAGAAGATCAAAAGATTTGACTTGTGAAAATATGGAGATCTAGTTCACCACCACCTTCCCCTTTCACAAATTTTCCATGCAAATGATTTGTTCATTATTTTTTTAAATGAATTATATTTAGAATGTGAATTGGAGAATTGAAAGATAAGAAATCTTGTTTTATTTCAAACGACGAATTAAAATCTCATGCAATTTGATGGACTTTTCTTGGAAGGAAAAAAAAAAAAAAAAAAAAAAAAAAAACTACTGAGAAAGTGGGACTGAAGTGCTTTTCTTTGCGTTCACATTCTTGTAAGAAGAAATTAATTATGATGATACTGAAAATATAATATTTTAAAAAATAAAATATAATGGGCCACGTCAGAGTGATGATATGATGACTAAATAAAAGATTAAGATTAAAATAATGGGGAAACAAATTGGTCTGACATCATAATTACATCACTAACCCGCCCCGATCATTAATCAGCTACGGCTCGGGTAATAAAAGTGGTTGCGTGCTGAATGCGATTGGGATTACGCGCATGCCTTTGATTATCTGGTCCCTCCCCTCCTTTTACTTCTCTTTTTATTTTTATTTATATATATATATATATGTTTGGGAAAATACTATTTCTTTTATTCTATAAAAAAAAAGTAAAAAAAAAATTAAATTAAATAATCAAGTTGCTTAAATTTGGTCCGAGTTGCCCAAGTGGTTAGTGGTCCATGTAAAAACCCCAGTCCAGCCCAAATAGAGAGAGAGAACCATTCTAATTGATTGGGCCAAATGATTGATAATCCCAATCCATGCAGACCATATAATCCTTCCGTAATCCATTTGATAATCATACTTATAAATTAATTTAATAATAAGAGAATACTAATTACTTTTAAATAAATTTATTTGTTTGATGGATATATTATTTATGTTTAATTATTTGGTAAATGTTTAAATAATTTTGCAAAATTATTAATCAAATTACGAAGATTCAAAGAATTATGTTCGCCTGGCCAGGGAAGGGAAAGAATTGTTACTGTAACGAATCTTGATAGCTGTCTGTCTTAATGTGTCCGATTCCTATCAAGGAAACTTAATGGGGAAATAAAAAGCCTGCGAAATAAATGGAAAACCCAACAATAATATGAAAGCTACTGGCCGGTATATGCTTTCTCAGTACCGCTCGATTCCCTATCTCTCTCGAACTTGCTTAGGAGTCATCTCTTTCTTTCTCTCGCATGCTGCTGGCATTTCTTATCTTCTTCAATTCAAATTAGGGTTTGCAATTATATCACAAAATCGCCATTCAAGCCAATATAATGCAGCTGGAGGCGATACAGACTCGAGTTGAGTCATGGATCAGGGACCAGAGAGCGAAGATCCTGAAGGTGTCGTGGGGCCCGCTTCAGTGGAGGCTGAGGTGGCCGCCGTGGAACAACGGAGACAAGGAGCAGAGGAAGAGGATCCAGCAAGAGTACGAGAAGCGCAAGAAGCAGCTGCACGATCTTTGTCGGGTTGTCAAAGCTGAGTCATTCGCTGATTTGCAGGATATACTCTGCTGCATGGTCCTTTCCGAATGCGTCTATAAGGTATATATGCCTTGCAGTTTCGCTTTATGGGAACTCTCCTCTAGTCACTGAATTGTTGCTTTTGTTTGGTTGTTGAAAACTCCTGAGGAAAAAAGTAATGAATTGGAACTTTGAGTTTTTGTGAGAGTTTGCACGTTTAAACTAAAGTTGAGGTGAAGTTAACTGTGAACTAGCATCCTGAGTTGGCCGCATGAATATTTTGTCACTTCCATTTCTTTTCTCCAATTACATCTCTTAAACCTGTTCACTTGGATTTTGGGAATCGGGCATTGGTTGGGTCGGGATATGGATGTTGGAAGATGCTAAAGTGATGTTTCAGGGACTTACTGTTACGTGTAGATGCTGATCATGCTACTCATGTTTTTTTTTTTTTTTTGTGATAAAAAGGGGGACCTGTCTGTGCTAGTTATTTTGAGGTGTATTTGCAATAATGGGCTAGTGCATCTTTGAGATAAATGAGATAACAGAGGTCGGTTTGTGATTTTTGGAGTTAAGTGTCTCCATTAACCAATGGAAGAAACCAATGGCGCTTGAGATAAGAAACTATTCTATTGCAATAAAATGTTTGAGAACTGGAAGATTAGGGGTACAATTGATGTAAGGAAATTGTATTTGTCTGATCTTGAGACTCTTCATAATAACCAGTTCACTGCTTTTTACTAGTGTACTGCTTCTCTGTTGATTAGTGATTATTACCTAGAAGGGACCAACTTGAATGGGCATTAAGACTCATATTTACAGTTCTATCTGCTGTGTGTATGAAGGTGTTGCTCCTGTGCTTGTTTGTCTGGATGTGCAAGCATGTATGTGTATGTGGCTACTGTTTGTCCCGATCTCTTCCTTTGGAGAGCGAAAAAACTTCAACTATCTATCTATGCCTTCGAAGAAGTAACTACTGTTCTTTTCATACTCACAATCAAATTTTTTTGTCCCTCCTTAAAGAATACAGAAAATCAGTTTGGATGCCTTTGAAATGTCTTAAGGCGGCTTTAATTATTTGTCATTAGCATTATGATTATGATCTAGAATTTCCATTTCTTTGAGTGCCTTAATTTGAAGGTTTAGAATGCCATAAACACATAGCTCTATCATGGATTTGACAATTTATTGAAATACTTAATCTAAGAATTACATGTGTTATTTTTGTTTATGCCTGGTAGAGACCTGCTGCAGAGATGGTTCGGTCTGTAAACAAATTTAAGGCTGATTTCGGTGGACAAATTGTTTCTCTTGAACGAGTGCAGCCTTCATCAGATCATGTTCCACACAGGTTATTTAAAATCTGTAATATCTAGGGTGCAATACTCTATTTCTTTCTATTTGGTACATCAACATTCTTTTGCAATAATTTTAATCCTATGTTGGTAGGAAACTTTCACTTGCACAATCTAGAGTACCTTATGTTTAACTCATATATGCTATGGTGGAACTACAGGTTACAGGTTATTAAAGAAAGATCCAACGGTTATTCAACATTATGGTTTCATGTTTTACACCCTATTATTGTTTGATCTGTCCTTTGTCTTTAAGACTCCTGTACCATCAAATAGTTTGGAACTGACTTTTGCCCATGAAATTTACCTTATTTTTGGCAGTATTCACAAACTAAATGTCAAGAGCCTTGGTCATTGACTCTGACTTAGCTCCTAGGAGTAGAGAGTTTTTTGAGAAGAGGGAGAGAGTGGGAAGAAGGAGAGATAGAGAGAATTTGGAGAGAAATAAGGATAAAAATTAGAGAGAGAATTTAAATTTGAAATTTCCTGGATAATTCAAAATCTTTTTTTTTGAGATAAAAGTATGATATGTATTAATGTAGAGGTGCCAAGGGGATGCTGCCCATATACATAAAAAATAGAGAAAGAATTTACAGATCAGTAAGTATATATACAATGGAACCAAAGTCCTCCAATCTATCAAGGTTGTAACCTAAAATAATAGATTCAAAAAAATGTAACCATCTATACTTGATAGTGACAAAATCTAACTCTATACCCTCAAAAACTCTATTGTTTCTTTCTTTCCAAATAATCCAGAAAATGGTTAGTGGAATTAATATGTAGCATTTGTTTCTCAGTCTAAGCCCCTCCCATGCAAGAAGTTCTCCTTTGACTGAACCAGTCATAACCCAGGGAACGCCCATGAGACTAAAAATCTCAGACTAAATCTTATAAGTGACAGGACACCATAATAGTAGGTGGCTGTAGGTTTCCAGATTATTTTGCCATAAGAAAAATCTGTTTGCCATTTTTTTTTTTTTTGAGATAAAAACATATATATTACTTATATAGCACCAAAGGGGGTGCCGTCCCTATTATTTTGATAGTGCCTCCCACAACAGCTCCTTCAATAACCTGCAAGAACAGTGTTCCCTTATATTCCTCCCCTGATGGCATGTTAGGTTCAGCAGAGTTCTATTCTCGCACTACCAGGTCATCATCCGTTTCCTCTGTAGCCATGGTTGTCTTTGCTTGACAGCGGTGGCCTGGAAAGTAGCTATCCTCGTAGCAAAAACAAGAGGCAGAGGATTTCCTTACCTCTGTTTCCTTCTGGATATTCCAGGCCTAGGTTCAGAATTCTTTCCTTGTCCTTGGTCCAAGGATTCGCGGCAATTACATTTTGGTTGGTGAGTGATTGGTGTGTTCCTGCAAAGTGTTGGTTCTTCGTCATTTCAGTAATGGATTGTTCCTATAACAACACTTGTTCAAATGCTTGGTTCAGATTTTGAGGCTTTAGCAGCCTAATCATTGGCCTCAATTTAGGTTTGAGTTTGCTAATGAAACTCGAGATGAAGAGTGTGTTGATAGCATTATCAGTCATCATTAGAGCATGAAGATGCTCAAATTGTTCCTGGTACTCCAGCACTGTGCTATTTAGGACGAGTTTATTGAATTACTCAACAAAGTCACGCTAGCAACACCTCTGAACGTCCTACACAATTTCTCTATGAAAATATTCCATTGCAACTCCACATTTTTAGCTAACCAAGCCAGGTACCACACATCAGCAACTTTGCCCAAGAACGCAGTTTCCACTCTGATCATAGGATGTTCCATTCACCAAAAATTTTTCAGGCACTTGCGAACCTAGGCCCTCAAATTGACTCCCTCAAGTAGGGGAATCTCTACTCTGCATAACAACAGACTACTATTGGCGCATCTTGTGTGTCCATTGTTCCCAACGACCTCAAGCGTAGTGGGCGTGAGAAGTAATCCTTTTCCTAAGGTTTGAGGAGGGTTCAGGTTCTTATCAGAACATTTGGATCCTTTGGTCTAGCTTGTCCATGCAGGATTTCCGCAATCTGATTAAACTGCTAGTGCTTTGTTCTTGCGTTCGTACATCTTGGGCATGAAGTCTGTTAGTCTCTGATCGATGTCCTTGACAGAATCTCCCAGCTGCTGGAGTTTCTGCTGTTCCGAGACTACCGGCTTTCATCTGGTGCGAGTTATTGAAACGACAGAGAGTTGCGCGTCCTTGTAATTGAACTGCGTTGATACTACTTTGTCAAGAGCCTTGGTTATTGACTCCGACTTACCTCTTAGGAGAAGAGAGTTTTTTGAGAAGAGGGAGAGAGCGGGAAGAAAAAGGAGAGATAGAAAGAATTTGGAGGGAGAGTAGGATAGAGAAATTAGAGAGAAAATATGAATTTGAATTTTCCCAGATGATTCAAAATCTTGTTACAATCTTTATTTATACTAAGCCTTAACTGTCCAGTAGGGTCCATTACCAACTACCTATGCACACAAATTTTCCTGCTTACAATCCCTTTTCAAGTGGAGCCTAGTGACCCACATCCTTAGCCTTACGCCTGGAGTAAACCTGCAAGTGTTTGCTGTTGCTTACACTAACTGCTCAAATTATCTAAACTCTTATCTTCTAAACCTTAATGCCTGCTTAAGAAGGTTAATGTCAAGTAAGACTTAACAGTAAGACAACGGAGAAAAAACATCTTAAATAAACGTCTTTACCAGCATTTGTTACTAAATTATGAAGAAGGAACTAAGTGCACAACCCCATTTAGTTGAAACCAAGAAATTGGGTCTAGCCTAGTTGCATAGTCATCTGTCAGTATTGAAGGTAGTCAGGTTGCTATTTTTCTAATTTAAGAGTCTATCGTCTTCATTAAAGTATGTTAAACTTTTGTTATCTCATACTTCTTTTCCCCATTCACCTCCTTGCAGGTATCTGCTGGCAGAAGCAGGTGATACGCTATTTGCTTCCTTCATTGGAACTAAGCAGTACAAGTAAGTGATTATATATTCATGTATTTAAGTTTTACTACTTTCTAAATAATTATTACCTTGGATTTTGTTTTGCTTCATGAAGGGATGTCATGGCCGATGCGAATATACTGCAAGGTGCTATATTTCATGAGGATGCCATGGAGGATACTGAATGCAGTGAAGTGGTTGAATCTGACCAAGTTGGACAACAAAAAGGGAATGGGGAAAACCGTTGGAATCCTCTTGAATCAAAAACTAAAAAACAAAAACCTAAACCTAAACCTGCTGCTCACCGGGTATGTGGTTATTCTTCGTGTAATCTATTAAAATATGTTTAGCAGCATATGTTGAATTTTAAGCATTCATTTTCATTTTCTTTTTCTTTTTTCACTTAATATTTTAAATGGCTTTGTTTGTTGAAAATATGTAATACGGGTATTTTTTCCCATTAACTTGCAAGTTTGCATATCAGGCATATGTTTGGTTTCTAACTTTATTCATCATTCTTTTTCTTTCATGCTATTATCTTTAGGGTTTCTTGGCTCGTGCTAAAGGGATACCTGCTTTGGAGTTGTACAGGCTTGCTCAGAAAAAGAAGCGAAAACTTTGTACTATGTGGACATTCACTTGGTGGAGCAGTAAGTTTGATCTGCTTGCTTTCTTTTGGGATATAGCAAAAACTTGTCACTTATTGTCTTCTCATCTTTATTCTTGATGTTTGTTGTTATGTTTGTAGGTAGCAGTGTTAGCTACGCTAGCCATATTGAGGGTCATTGCGGCATCCTCATCATCAAAAGAAAATGAAAAAGTTCAGGTCAAATGTATAACATTTTCCCAACCCCCTGTTGGGAATGCAGCTTTGAGGGAGTAGGTTCCACATCTATATATATATATATGTATATTTATTAGTAAATAACTATTGGTGTCTGTTTAAGCAAAATCAAGTGCATGATTTTTCGTTCCTTCTAATGGGCCTTAAAAAACTTTGAACTTTTCCACAGTTATGTCAACAGGAAAGGGTGGCAGCACTATTTCAAGAGTTTCTGTATTCCTGAGGATCTGGTACCCCGTATATTATCTCCTGCGTATTTTCATCACTATAATGCACAACCCTTGTCAGTGCCTGGAGAGGCTGAAACTATGGTAAAGGAGGGTCAGGTTGATAAATTAGGGGTAGACAAACTAAAAGAGAATGAAAAAGAGCAGTTGGTTTTGGGTGTAGGCCCTATTCAAAGTTCCTTCTGGAGACTTTCTAGGCTTGTTCCTTTGGAGGGTGTTAGGAGACAATTCAATAAGTATGGAAGAAAAAAAGTTGACACTGTAGATCCATCTTCTGCAAATGATTCTTTGATCACATCTTCAATTGAGGATGCAGTTGTTGAACCACAGTCACTTGAAATACAGGAGGGTACTGATGGCATCTCTCTTAAACCATTTCCTAATACTGATGATCAGCCACCTGATGGAATGATGACTGGGAAATCAGCAGAGAAAAGCAACACTAGCAATGGGGCAGGAAGTAGATGGCGTAGGGTGCCTTATTTACCTTCATATGTACCATTTGGACAGGTAAATATTAGGAACTAAAATAGTTAACCTGTTATACATACACGAAGGAAAAACACAAATAATATCCAGTGATAAGATTGTTTTCTGCTTAATGTATTTGGTGCTCTTTTCTGTTTCTTTGCTATTAGTATAAGTTGATTCCCGAAGTTTTATTGGTATTGTCAACTACAATTCTTATAAGTGGTTAGTTCACTTGCATGCTTAGGAGATGAGAGAAAATTTCTGATTGCAGCCCTTTTCTTTTGTGAATTTTGTGTTCATGTTTCTTTGAAGTCCTGTACCCTTTAAATATTAGATTTCTGTTTTTATTGGGCCTGCATAGGATGAACACAGTTGGAATTACAATTTTTTAAGATGTTATTACCACTTAGAATCCCTTGGTTTTCATGGGTCGTGTTCTATTACAGAGGTATGGTGGTACTTTCTTAGCTTCCCCTACAATCAGAAGCTTTATTTTATTTTCATCAGAAATTTATTATACAATTATAACCTTTATGGAATGGGTTTAGCAATAATGTCCTATTCATTTCAGCTGTATCTCCTGGGAAATTCGTCTGTAGAATTGCTTTCAGGTGCAGAGTATTCAAAGCTGACATCGGTACGAGCTTCCCTTGCTTAACATCTTTGTTTAATTTTGTCCTTTGGGCTCTTAAACTTTCTAGTTTCTCTTGTAGAAAAAATCTATGTAAGCTTTTGGTTTGAACAGAAAAGTTCATAGTTGTAATATATTGTCTTCATATGCTCTTTTACGTCTGTGAGGAATTACTGTTCATGGATTTCATGGGGTCTCTCAGTTTGTTTGCTTTCTTTTGGCAAAGATATTTTCAGGTCAAATCTGTGATTGCTGAACTGAGGGAACGCCTTCAATCGCATTCGATGAAATCATATAGGTCTCGATTTCAGAGGTGATACATCTCTTCGTAAAAGTTTTCTTTTTCTTTCTAAATTTTAGTTTCTATTTATAATTGTAAGTTTCCTTTAAAATTGGTTAGAATATCTTTTGGGTCCTGTTCGATTTTTGAACTAAAGGTCCTTCTTTTATTTATATACTTTAGCCTCAACTTTGTTGTTGGTGTTTTGTATTTGGTGTTCACTTACTAATGTGAGAAAGAATAGTCCATCATCATGGGAACCAGATAGGCCTCTGATTCTGTCCCAGATGAACTAGAGCATTTGGCATGATCTTGGAAATAGTGTGTACAACACTTCTACGAAAAATAATTTTTCTTGTTTATCTAAATACTCGTGTTGGAAGACCTAGTAATTTAGTATAAAAGAGAGATGTGATACTTTGAGAAAATTTAATAAAGAACTAAAGATAGAGATCTCAGATCTCAATAATCAAATCAATATTTTATTGTTTGTATAGCCATATGAATAGTCCAAATAGGAACCAAACTAAACTATCCTATTCGTAGGTATCTAACATCATTAGAACAAGAAAACTTTAACTCTATTTAAGAAATAAGTTAAATAAGAGAATAAACTAATTAATTGAATAAACAATAATGGAAAATAACTAAAATAGGATCCTAACTGAATAAGAAATAATAAAATCATATTAATAATAAGACTTAAGTAATAGTTCCTAAATAAGCTAAACACCTCTAATATTATGTAAACATTATAATTATGTACATATCTTTTAAAGAAGAATATTTACAATTTAGAATCTTCTTTTTTGCACGACGTAGAATTTTCTAGTTCTGCCTTTTGCATCCCCTTCCTGCCTGCTCCTCTTCATCAGGAAAAGTAATTATTACAAGAAACTGAAAAAAGAACTATAAGTGTTAAATTATGCTAAGATTTCCCTTGTAAGATGAAGATATATTTTATGTGTTGATTGTGGTAGATGAAGTGGGTGTAGGGATAATGAGTATGGTTTTGGCATTTTCCTGTGGAATATTGTTCTTTGATCCACATTATAATCAACACTAACTGCGGGCTGCCCAATAATAAATGGTATTACCAGACTAATGCTACCTCTGATTACAGGAGTCACAGATTCGCCATTTGCAAGTTGTATGATGTTTTCCCTCCTCTCTTACAGGGACGTGATCAAGTGATGGGTCCTGTATGTTGTTCTGGGAAGATCGTTGGATTGGAGATATCCTTCTTGCTAATCTCTCCCTCGTCTTTATAGTCTTTGTTTGCGCCATCACACTCCCATATTTCATTTTCTTAACCAGATGGATGGGCATGCCTCCTGGATTTTTTTTTTCTTTTAAGAAATCTTGACGATTGATAATCTGAAGATATAATTTCTTTGCTAAATTCCCTTCAGCCCTTTCATGTTTCCCCTTTCCCTGACAATTGGATTTGATTTTTGGAGTCTTCTAACTTATTTTTGTGCAAATCTCTTTTCACTTATCTCGCACACTCTCCATCTACCCTTAATGAGCCCATTTCTGGAGTTCTTTGGAAGACTGGAATTCCTTCCAAAATTAAGGTTTTTGCTTGTACGGTCAGTCTAGTTAGGCGTGGTACCAATGATTTATTTCAGACATGGGACCTAAAGTGCCATTTCCCCTGATGTTTTGTGTGCTTTAAGGCAGCAGAAACTTGTAACCGCCTATATTTGCATTGTGAAGTGGAATGGAGGCTTTGGTTTACTCTTGTTTTAACACTTTTGGTTATTGTTGGGTTGTTCTCCCCTCCATCGAATGCTTCTTTTCTTGCTTCTGCGAGGGAGGTGAGAAGAAGAAGGATGTTCAACTGTTGTGGAAGGTGCTAGTCTTGCTGGTTTATTGGTGTTGTGGTTTTTATTCGTACTTCGTGGGCTAAGGTTCATGGCCATGTCTCTGTGGCTATTTTGGATAGGGACTGGGTTACTTTGTTATTTTTATGTATTTATTATTCACCTTTGCTTTTTAGGAGGATTTCTTCTCCTCAGGGTGTGTACTTTATTCCCTTATTCTCATAAATTTTCTTTTTCCAACTGAAAGATTATTAGCTTAAAGCTTTTGGCATCGCTGGTTTCATTTGCTGACATACTGTTATTTTGCAGAATCTATGATCTCTGCATGAGTGATAATGCTTCGCTTTTCTTAGGAATGGAGCAGCTACAGCAGTTTCCACATTTACAGCAATGGCTTGGGCTCACAGTTGCTGGTACAGTAGAGCTTGGACACATTGTTGAGTCACCAGTTATTCGGACTGCTACTTCTGTTGTTCCTTTGGGATGGAATGGTATTCCTGGTGAGAAGAATGTTGAACCTTTAAAGGTTGATATCTTTGGTTTTGGATTGCATTTGTGTACACTGGTTCACGCCCAAGTGAATGGCAATTGGTATTGTCTTTTATCACCTCTTTCTGGTTTATCTTAATTTACCTTTCAATCTACTTTTTTTTCCCCAAGCAACTAACACAACAAGCTGCAATTATATTTTTGGATGATATGGTACCACTAGAACCAACCTACGCATAGTGAGAATGTATATCTGTGATATATTGCAAAAATTTTTCATTACATCTTTTTTTGCTTTGTATTATATGAATCTGTAATTTGCTAATGTTGCTTTTGCTGCATATGTTTGAGGTTACCCTTTTGCTCTTTGGCAATATGATATTCTTCTTAGGTGCCTTATCATTTTTAGACCTTGTTCGATTCCGCTCTGTTCATATGCTTTTCATTTAGTTACTAGTATATCTTTGGTTTGAATCCTTTTGCGATAAAATTCTTATTCCAATTCACATGCTTTTATATTTGATGAAGTTCGGATGAATTAGCTTTTTAGTTTCTTTTCTATGAGTGGAAACCAGCTGATCTAAGCCAAAATATTCAAATACTTGGACTTAGTTTAGTTTACTGTTGAAATTGATCTCGGCTCAAAGTTCAATCTGAACTCTTTTTTTCTTTGAGCTCAGGCTCAATCAAAATGCCATTATTCGGAAGCTTGGGCTTGGTTTTGGATAAATAATGAGTCTTGTTGAGTTTGAGCTCGATGTGAAGCATGACCAAGTTTTATAAAGAAGCCCAATTTCAAACTCATACAGGCTTGAAACTTAGGCTCAAAATTAGATATATTTATTTATATAATCATAAGCACTAATATATGATTATTAAGTTCATTGTGATTTCATTATTTTACATAAATCATATTTGATTCAGGTGTTCAACTACTGTGGAATCCTTTCCTTCGGCCCCATCTTATTCTTCAAATCCTGATGAGCGGTCAGAACTACAGAAAATTCGTGTCCTAGTTGGAGCTCCACTGAGACGACCCCCAAAACATCAGATGATTGCAGATTCTTTGTTGCCACTGTATTCTTCTGCTGAATCTAGCACTGGTAATCTTAAGCAAGAACACAATTTAGGGTTATTCCAAGAGGAAAAGTCCATTCAACCTGAAGGGTTGAGTGATTTTTTAATCTTCTGCACCAGTGATTTTACAACTGTTTCCAAGGAGGTGCATGTTAGGACTCGTAGGGTGAGACTACTGGGCCTTGAGGTATTCACATTGTCCATCTGAATTTACTCATTTGTTTTTATTTTCGTTTCATGGTAAGAATGAAAGACTTGATTTATCGTTTTTGTAGGGTGCTGGTAAAACTTCTCTTTTCAGGGCAATACTGGGTCAAGGCAAGTTAACCACCATGACCAATACTGAGAATCTGCAGTTGGAGACTGATGTTCATGAAGGCATTACTGGTGGTATATGCTATACTGATGCAGCTGGGGTAAATTTGCAGGTATGTTTTCAGTGGAGTTGGTTTCTTTTGATATTTGGTATATTGATTTCAAATTAAGAGGGTGTTTGGGTTATTTCACGCTTATAAGTGAGTTTAAACACTTTATTGCAATCTTCTTGTTTGGTAATATAAAATACGAAGTGCTTATTAGGTTCTTAAATGTAAGAAGGTAAAAAATAAGCAGCTAACTTCTTAGGTTCTTATTTTTTTAATCTGAACTGTTCTTTTGATGTTTACTTAAAGTTAACAATATGTATAAAATAAAGAAGTTATAAAATATTTGAAACAAACATAGTTTTTTTATTAATTTTATTACAAAAAAATAACTGCTTATTTTTTGCAATCATCGCTTTATTTAAAGGTGTAATCTTTATTTTTCTAATAAAAATTATCTGTTTTAACTAACTTAAAGCATTTAATTGCCTTCAGCACATTTCTTTAAGCAATTCCAAATACTCTCTAAAATGATCATCTCAGAAAGGAAAAAGAGAAACTGATTTTCCCTCTTTTGAGAGCTGTAGAAGGTCCTGGATTTAATAGACATAGGTGCATGCCGGGGGTTGTATTTTCCATGAAGTCAAAGATGAGTTGGAATGAGCGAATCCCAGATATCATTTCCGTATTAAACTGTGATGTCATGCTGAGGTGTGATTTAATGGCTCCCTGGAATATTTGATGTCATTCTTGTTTTCACTTTGGAATGTTTGTATGTGTTTCTTTCTGGGCATGCATTTCTTCCCCCCCGCCCCTCCCCTGCTTCTGCGGAATCTGCAACCTAAAATAATCCATCACGTTGGTGTTTGGAGTAATTCCCTTTCTTCTTCACATATCTAAAGTTACGTTAAGAACAAATGTATTCCACTTTGTTTGGTTCCTGTGCTTATTATGTGTCATTTTTTGGGAATTGATGTAGGAGCTGATTACGGAGGCTTCTCGTTTTAGGGATGAACTGTGGATGGGGCTCCGTGATCTTAGCAGGAAGACAGATTTGATTGTTCTTGTGCATAATCTCTCCCATAAAATACCTCGGTACAATCAATCGAATGCATCACAGCAACAGCCAGCCCTTTCACTTCTCTTAAATGAGGCTAAGGCTCTTGGCATCCCCTGGGTTCTTGCTATAACAAATAAGTTTTCTGTTAGCGCACACCAGCAAAAAGCAGCAATTGAAGCAGTTGTGCAGGCATATCAAGCATCTCCAAGTACCACTGAAGTTATTAATTCTTCTCCATATGTTATACCCAGTGCAGCAAGTGCTTCTTTATCTTGGGCTGCAGCCAGCAGAGATTATGAGAGGAGGCTTGGTGTTCAGAATATTCTTTTTGCTCCGCTTAATCTAGTGAGGAAA